GGCTCCCGGTAAAAGCGCCCCGGCCACCGGCGGTGTGAAGAAGCCTCATCGTTACAGGCCCGGTACCGTTGCTCTGCGTGAGATCCGTCGTTATCAGAAATCCACGGAGCTTCTCATCCGTAAGCTGCCTTTCCAGCGGCTGGTCAGAGAGATCGCTCAGGACTTCAAGACCGACCTGCGCTTCCAGAGCTCCGCCGTCATGGCTCTGCAGGAGGCCAGCGAGGCTTACCTGGTGGGTCTGTTCGAGGACACCAACCTGTGCGCCATCCACGCCAAGAGAGTCACCATCATGCCCAAAGACATCCAGCTGGCCCGCCGTATCCGCGGAGAGAGGGCTTAAGATCTGATCTCCCCCTACAGCCTGACAACACAACGGCTCTTTTAAGAGCCACACACCTGAGTCAAAAGAACAAAGTCTCTGGTCCTGTATAATAATGCTGTATATTATTTAACATTATTTATTCATGGTAATAATAAACATTTAAAGGCTTCACTTTTGTGAAAGGACAATGGAAAATGTAGCTTCCTGATGGAACTGTGATAGTGTTAGCAGCTGACTACATGATGGTTCTCTTTGACACTGGAGACATTTATGCTGGAGTTTATTCATAGAAAAATAGTAACATATTTCACATGTTATTAGGTACAATGATTCAAACACATCTGTAAAACATCAACATGTCTCCCATGACATACGTTTCATTTTTACACCAAAGGAAGTTGCAGCTACATTTTTTGCAAAATCTATTATTTTGTTATTAACAACTATCGGAAACAACACTATTTGGCAAATATAAGACCCAGAACAGAAACAAACCTAAGTAAAATCTGTTAACTTTTTTTTTTAACTATTATTATTTTATCTAACACTATGCAACTCAAAATTCTTGCCAGTTGGCTTCCATCTCACTCTAAATAAAAGGGGGAAAATATCTTTAAAATCATTTCCCTTAATCTTTAAGTTAACACCAGATAAATATCTTAATAATTATATATATATATTTTCTTTTACAGCCTATTACAGCATATTTTATTTTGGCTTACAATCCATACTACTTTACTTTAAAATCTTTTTTAGAAAGACTTTTAAAAGTCTGGAATCAATAAAATAACATTTAAATAGGTTAAAAAAAATTCAATTTTTAACAAATATTTACAGAACAGCTAACGACATCTCCAGTGATTCTACTCTTGGCATGCAGTATGAAGTGTGTACAGTCTTTGAATCAGTGCAGCCTCCAGGTCCCTCAGGAGGTTTGGACCATCTTCATCCCAGGTGTCTGACTCTGGACGGAGGAGTTCTTGTCCCACTCCACCGAGCAGCAGGCGGTGGAAGTCCTCCCTGTCCAGGAGTTGATCCATGAACTGCAGGAAGAATCCTTTACAAAACCTGAAGAGTTCAGCAGCTCCGTGGTGCTGCAGACGTGCAAAAAGAAATTGGTATTTTGTCTCAAAAACATTAAACCAGATCAAGATAAACTTGTCAACCTTTGCCATTTGGTAGATGCTGACGGCGTTGTCCAGATTTAGATTTGTTGAAAGTGTCATCTCACAGCTTCTCTGCAGACCGTTAAGCTGGAAGAAAGTGGCCACAGGCAGCAGCTACGGCCGGAAAATAAAAGCCATTAAAATATGTTAAAACATTAGGGTCGTTATGCAAATGTCGGTGTTCAACACTGATTTACTTTAAATGTCCCACTCTGCTCTCCTTTTATTGTATTTTCCTGATTAAAACTCACTCCACCCGGTTCTTTTCATGGTGTTGAATGTTTAATTTTCTTTATTTTATTTGTTTGTTTATTGCAGGTTTTTTTTGTTTGTCGTCTCTGTCAAAATTCCACTTCTCCGTCTGTTGAAGAATGTTTGTATATTTTCATGGCAAGATCAGGATTTTATTATTTTAATCTATTGTTTATTTTAATGTTAGCATAATGAAAACACATTTGCTTCTTTGAAGAAAGATATCTATTTTTTTCAGATTCAGTCTGAAGTCTTATCAAAAACTGAAGTAAAGTGTGCAATTGACAGCAAAAAAAAAGTCATAAAAATAAATAAAGTACAAATTAACCTGTAATGATTAATATTCTATAGTTGTCAAATCCTGATTACTAATACATTTGAAACCATATCCACTAGCAGTGATGACAATTAAAAAAATCTAACAGAGATCCATTGGCAGTGATGCATCAGGTCCAGTTACTGCAGCGTTACCTTTAATGCGTCGGACGGTGAAAGGAGCAGTCCCTCTGTTCCTCCACAGTATAAAGACTTCATCATCATCTGTAGACACAAACACAGGATCAACCTAACAAGACCATCGCTATAAAGACCCAGGTGCATTCAGCAGTTCTTCTCAGACATGCTCCAAATACATTAAGAAAAATCATTTTAAAGTGAATGGTCAGTGCCTCACCTGAAAAGTGCCGTAGGTCAAGAGATTAATATGAATGACGTCGTCCGTTGACTCAGTCAGCATCTTTCTGAATCTGAAAACACCGTGGATATTTCAATACAAGTCGTTATTGTTTCTTTAAAATGTGATTTAGTTTTGAAATATAGATTAAAACACAGTCAGGACCAATGTTCCCTCTAAGCTGCGCGTAAGTGCTACAAAGCATGTAAAAACAGTTTCAAGTTTTTACTCTTTTTTTTCTATTTGAGTACAAACTGATTATTCAGAGAACCTGATTGACCAATCGTTAATTGTCGGTCAATCGTCAGGGAACCAACCTTTCAGAAGCCGACATCAGCAACACCCGGTGAGCAAAGAACTGTCGTCCCTCAACAACAAATATCACATCAGACATGTCGGGGTTGTTGAGAAAGTGAACATCTGCACAAAAAATAATAACAAATGTAAATGGTCTGCTTGGGAACAGATTTTATTTACGATCACATCAACTCCGTCAACGTTACCTAGCTGTGTGGACATGGTCATGTCCAACGTTGGGACCGGTGTGACAGGAGAGGAGCCGTAGCAGTGAGCAAGAACCGACGCCAGTCTCTTGGTGATGACGTAGTCCTGCAGATTCAAACACAGCAGAGTAACAAGGAAGATTTTTTTAGAGGAAAGTGTTTCTGCAGAACACGAACACGAACACGTCATCACGACGACATCTGAAACTGTAAACCGCACCTTGCTGCTCTCCAACATGCTGAACATGAGGGGTATTCCTGAGGACAGCAGCTCAGGACCGTAGTCCTCCGTCCTGATGGAGGAGAACTCTGTGAGGAGGCGGACGATGACGTCGTCCCTGCCCAGATGTTGGGCCCGGGAAAGAGACTGAAGCCAAGTGTGGAGTCTCCAGGGAACACCTGGGCAAACACAGTAGACGAAACATTGTTGTGTTTCTTTCTTCAATTCCTGACAGTATATTTTAGCATTGTGTTCAACTAAACAGGACTGCATTTTTAACTGCATTTAAACTAGATTATTATTATATTTCATTACATATACTTTTTGTGAGATTTTTTGTTTGGTGGTGTGCTGGTTTTTTTTTCTGATGATAGGATATATGCTGTTGATTTGGATTACAAGTAAAAATAATTCCTCAGGGTTTTTTTTCTCCTGATGATAGGATATATGCTGTTGACGTTGGATTACAAGTAAAAATAATTCCTCACCCATTTCTCTGAGCTCCGTGGTCACATCCAGGTAGCCGTGCTCAGCGCTGTAGTACGCCGCCTGCTGGAGAGCCTTCATCCTGGCCTTACACATTCTCGGAGCGGGGCCGCAGGAGTTAGGAACTGCGGTATGAGCTGCAGCTTTCGCCTCCTCCTTCTCCTTATTTTTCTCCACTCCCTCGGCCAGAATCTCCTCCAGGGAGAGGATGTCCTCCTTCCTGTGCTCGGGCTGCATCAACAGCCTCCTGAGAACATTCCTGGTGACGTGGGGACATGTTTTCAAAACAAAACTCACTCACGTCCACGTGTCCACACTGTCCTGATAGAAGGGAAAGTCTCACCTGTGTCCGTGCGCCGCAGCGTAGCTGAAGCAGTTCATATCTTCATACAGAGGTGACGTCAATGAGTTCCCATGATGCACTCTGAGCAGATGGTCTGCTCCGTGGTTTAGCAGCAGGCTCACCATCTCATAGTTACCTGGTAAAGATCAGTTCAATTCTACTTATCGTTGTACAGTTCATTGTACAGAAAACTCATTTTGTGCCAAAAGACCATTTGTCAAATAATGCACTGTTTCCCAAAGACTGGGTCGCGACTCTCAGGTGGGTCGCAAGATATTTTTTGGGGGGTCATATTGCATCATGTTTCCCATGAGTTTACGAATAACGTCTATTGACTTGGGTCACGACGGTTTGTGGCGGTTCCCAGAAAAAAAAGAGAATCACCTGCATGCTGCAAACTTCACTTTCACCATTAGATGTCACTAAATATTACACTTGACTCTAAAGTAAAAATAAATCCTTGAAAGTAATTGAAGAACGTTGTCATTTTTTGAGATGTTACATTAAAATTTCTGGAAATGTTGTATTCAGTTTTTTTACTGGGGTAAAAAAGTACCTGCAGCTGCCGCCAACTGGAGCGGCGTCTCGGCTGAACTCTCCTGATCCTCCAGCAGGGCTCCACCCTCCACATCTGCCCCAGCCTCCAGCAGCAGCTATACAGGGAAGGAACAGAGATGCAATTCTTTTAGGTTAGCATGCATAATGTGTAATACCCTAAATGACCAGCAGGTGCGTTTTATATATATATATATAATAAATAATCGTAAAGCTTCCTGAATGACGGCGGCTGACGGTGTTTGGTTCTTACCTGAGCCACACAGAGGGGACTGTGCAGCACAGCAAAGTTGAGCCCAGGATGAACAGATGGGTGTGTGGAGGAGAAGCTTGGAACCTTACACACATACACAGACACACACTCTCAGTCATCTAACACACAACGAGCCGTGATTCATGAAAATGTTACATAAATATATTTTCACCTGCAGGTCCAGCTTTGCACCAGCCTCGACGAGCATCTGAACCAGAGCTTCATCTCCTGCTGCTGAGGCGTACATGAGAGGAGTCATTCCCTGCAGGAGCACAGACATTAACATTATGTTGTACAAGTCCAATTAATCAGGATTAATGCGACAAATCACAAAACAAATGTTAATAATTAACACAACCATCAAGACATAAAAATCTTCTTTAACATTTATTTTACAAACTTTACTCCCAGAAAATATGCTGCTGTAGATCACACAGAGACACTAAAGGAAGCTGTAAATATTTATCCCAACGTTTATTAACTATTTGTCTGTAAAAACACTAGATGTAAAATGTCTTTAATAAATTTCTACACGTTTTAAAAAATATTTACATTTGCTCTATTGTACATTTTTGATACTGTAAAATTTATACTTTAAATTTAAATTAGTTCATGTTTATGAAAAAAAAAGTGTCAGTGTCAGTGAGAACCAGGAATACTGATTTTTAATTGGTGATAATACATTCAGTAAGACCTGGTCATCCATGGTGTTCACGCCCTCAGCCCCCAGAAGCTGCGAGGCCTGTTGGGTCAGATCAGTCCGTCCACACAACACCATCCTGAAGCCCAGGTCCAGCTGGAACTTGGCTGAAGCTGCTTCTGCATCCAGATATTTAAAGGACTGGAAGCAGCACTCCGACCTGCAGGAATACAATAAGAAAATAAATAACAAAAAAATATATATTTTTATTTATTTATTATTTGTATTTGTCATTTTAGAATATCTTACTTGAGTTGTCGGGGCTCACAGTCCAGTCCAGGGAGAAGCTGTCTGGCCGTTTGTCTGACGTCATCACTGTCCACCAATAGGCTTCGGCGATGTTCAGCGTGAACCACAGCGACTCGGATCCATTCCATGAGCGGAGGAAGGAGCAGGGACGGCCTGCAGGACGACATGGATACTATCATAACTACCACGACAGTTTTGTTGTTGTTTTTCAAGCGATAAACAAAGTTCGCTACAAACAATTTATTTATTTTTTTTATCTTTGATTTTCGAAATTCATTTCGTGTCCGTTTACAGACATTTTATAAGAAACAATCACAGACACACCGCATGTTTTTTGCTGTTTTTAGGTCGACCCTAAACGTAGTTGCAATATTTGACCACTAGAGGGCAATGTCACTAAATGAAAGAATAAGGTCATGTTTGAAATGGTTCATCATGTTAAACACATTGCGATGGCAGGTTTGTAGTCTTAACCACACGTTTGGGATTATTTAGTAAATTTATTTAGTAAATTTATATTAAAAATAATTGTTTATTGTTGTTAATTACAACTTTGACTATATATATATATATATATACAATATCTTCGTATATTTCTTACAGACCAGAATGGACACAGACCTCTCTCTGCTCAGTGTCATGGACAGTTCCAGGTTGGGGTTCTCCAACGGTTCCATCCCTGGACTGGATATAAAGTAATAGAGTGTCCGCAGGGCGTCTGAAGCCCAGGTTACTGACGGCTGATTTGACGAACGGGCCGGGCTCGTACAGGAGCTGGAGTAGCGTAGACGCTGCATGTGGTGCATCGCTCTGGAAACCAGATCACCTGCAAGTACGATGAAAGGTTATACAGTACCAACGCAGAAGACTGACAATAGTAAAAATAAATCAAATGGGGAAAAAAAATAACAATACAAAATAACTGTTTGCTCATTTTTTTAATACATAAAAATATGGATGTCCGAATATTAACTTTTTGCAGATATCCGATAAACAGATATTGTCCAAAGACTTAACTTCTGATTACGATATAAACCGATACCTAATAATATTTATTGATTTATCTGTACAGACCACAGTATGAGTATGAGGTTAATTAAAGGAGCTGCAATGCTGCCATCTAGTGACTTTCACTTTAA